ATGAGGCCGGGAGTGAGTCGCCGGTCCCAAGACCCCAAAGACCAGCGCTCCCCGCCCGAGGCTCCCCGTGCGCTGGGGTCCCACCCTCCGGGAGCCACCAGGCCGGAAGCTAGCCAGCCGTGAATCTTTTTTTTCCCTTTCCCTTACCCTTATTTACAAAAGCTTTGTTGCCATTTTTTCCCTTCTTTTCTCATCATTTTTTCTTTTCTCTTCTTTCCTTTTCCCCTCCCCCCTCCCTGGTTCCCTTTCCCATTTGAACATTTTCTTCCTATTTCACAATATCTATTATACGTTTTGTTCCTTATTTACACTTTCAGTTTCTCACACCAGAGAAATAATGTGATATTTACACATGTCAGATTTATTTCACATGACAATCTGGTCTCATGGTGCATCCATTTACCTAGAAATGTCTCAAGCTTATTCTTCTTTATGGCTGAGTAGTGCTCCATTGTATAAGAAAACCACATCTTCTTTATCCATTCATCAGTTGATGGACATTTGGGTTGTTTCTAAGATTTAGCTGTTACAAACTGTGCTAATGTAAACATGGGTGTGCATATATCACTGTGGTATGATGCTTTTAATTCTTTTGGGAAGATACCTAGAAGGGGGATAGCTGGGTCAAATGGAACCTTTAGTTTAGTTTTTTGAGGATTCTCCATACACATTTCCACAGTGGTTGCACCAGTCTACACTCCCAGCAACAGTGGAGAAGGGTTCCTTTTTCCCCACAGCCTTGCCAGCATTTGTTATTGGTTGATTTCTTGATAGTAGTAATTCTTTCTGTAGTGAGACGGAATCTCAGCATTTTTTTAATTTGCATCTCTTGAATGCCCAGTGACACTGAACATTTTTTCATGTATTTATTCGCCATTTCTACTTCTTCATCTGAAAAGTATTTAAATTACAATTTTCCTGTGAAGCAGTTACATTCTGCAGCAAGTTAAAGTGTGAAAAGCCTTCATCATAGAGGATTCTGGAGACACAGAAGTAGTGGTGGGTGGATACCGAGACTTCTGTGTGTTGATATGAGCTGACATTTAGGCAAAGATAATCTGTGTGTGTAAATCTGCTGATACCTGTAGGCAGGGCTTGGATACATGGATTAATCACTTCAAGTTTAAAGAGAAAAGTCAGGAAAAAATGTGTCTATATGTTTATTAATGGGTATTGTGCAGCCTTCTGGTCTTTTGGTTGATGGTATTTCAGACAGATCATGGTAAGGACTCAAGAACCTTAAAGGAAAAGCAATGATCTCATTTAGGTGTATTATCTTGGATTCTCCCTGCTATGATTTTGTTTCTTTTGTGCCATTGTCCCTGATAGGTTTTTCCAGGGCAGAGAGAAGTAAGACAGAATAAAATGCCTTTGTTGTGGACACGGAAAGGCCACAGGAAAGAGAAAAACGTGGCCTCTGCCGATCTTTTGTGGGGTCCAAGGTTAAATAGCCTCAGGCTAGAGGTGGGATTTAGGAGGCACACCACCTGACATGGCAGAACTGGATTGGGTGGGAGAGTAGGAAAAAGGAACAGGATATTACAAAAAAGGAAGTGGGAAGTTGTAATTTGACTCAGTGGAAGAAGGGTGGGGCTTAGCACATGGCCTCTAGTGGCCAGCGCCATATTGGCTGGATGCCATAGCAACTCAGCAGGAATTACAGCTGGGCAAGAAACCAATCAGTCCCAAATCAGTAAAGGAAAACATCCCTGGGGTTAGAAATTGCTCTAATTACTTATTTAAGAGGTTAGCTTTCATTCATTCATTCATTCATTCATCAGGTTTTTTGAGACAGGGTCTTGCTATGTAGTCCAAGCTAGGCTAACCTCGAACTCATAGCGATCCTCCTGCCTCAGCCTCGCAAGTACTGAGAGTATGTGTATGTGCCATCATCCTGGTTTCTTTTTTTTTTTTTTTTTTGGTTTTTCTCCGGTACCGGGAACCGGACTCACGACCTTGCGCTTGCCAGGCAGGCGCTTTTGCCGCTGAGCTAAATCCCCAGCCCCCTGGTTTCTTTTTTAAATCAGCATTTTTGCTTTGTTTAGTCTGACTGCTTTCTGTGTGTCTGATTTTCTTCTATTTGTCCCTCTCTAGGCAGCTATTTTGCAAGTCACTTCATCATGGGAGGAGAGAAGTTTGACTCAACGCACCCTGAGGGTTACCTGTTTGGCGAGAACAGTGATCTGAACTTCCTGGGGAACAGACCAGTCGCGGTAGGGCTGTAATCGCTTTACTTCCCCATGGGGCTCAAGTGCCAGTAAAGACACATTCGTAGTTGCTGGCTCAGCAGCATGGTCTGAGCTGGGAAGGGCCGTAGGAGCCAGGAGTCTTGGTGCTAGGGACCAGTGTGGGCCTGCAGTCTGTGTGAGGGTGGCTAAGTCTCCTCACACAGCTCCCTGAGGATTCAGGTCTCCTCAGACAGCTCTCATCCAACCCCCTAAGGGACCTTCATTTGCTTGCTTTTTTTTCCTCCTTGGGTTTAACACCAAGCTTCTGTTTACTTGTCTCTGTCGCTTATTGTCTGCCTTGCAGACAATAAGCCAGGTAAATATTTGTTGAGTAGATGACTGAAAAAATTTACCTTGGTATCTGAGTTGATATTAGAATACATCTCTCTCAATTGTTCATTCACCTCTCTAATTTTGTTTTGTTTTGTTTAAGCAGTCCTGCCACAGCCTCCCAAGTACCTCCCAAGTACCTCCTGCTACACGCGTGGCTCTGTAAACCTTTACTGGGTACCTTCTATGCACCCAGCATGGGGCTGTGACGGTAGCTTCCAGATGGCTCTTGATTGGCTCGTGTGTGCTAAGAAAGGTCCTAGAGACTTTTCAGATGTTCCTACTCCTCATGAACTCATCTAGCAGAGGATTTATTTTTGTGTGTGTGTTTTCAATGCTGGGGATCAAATCTAGGGATGTTCTGTCAGTGAGCTCCCCCACCCTTTTGATTTTTTATTTTAAGACAGGGTCTCATGAAGTTGCCCAGGCTGGCATTGAACTTACTCTCCTCCTGCCTTAATTCCCAAATAGCTGGTATTTTATGGGTTTCTAGGCATGTGCCACCCTATCCAGTTTAGAGGATTTCTTGTCATTCTCATGGCATCATGGGGCTGGGGATTTAGCTCAACGGCACAGCGCCTGCCTGGCAAGCGCAAGGTCTTGAGTTCGATTCCTGGTACCGGAAGGAAAAAAAAAATCATGTCATCAGTAAGAGACCAGAGTCCTGAGGAGATGAACAGTAGTGGAGCTGGCGTGTAGAAACTACATACCATGTCTGAGGCCCTGTTCACTCATTTTACATACATTTTTCTCAAAGCAATATACCTAGGTCTGCCTGGCCATAAATTGTTAATTTTTGCCTTTCTGAAGACCCTGCCAGATTAGTAGGGTGGACAAAACGTATAAACAGGGGATGTTTGGATGGTAGAGATCTGGAGTGATGGAACTGGGTAGGAACTGAGAGTGGAGCAGTGTTTTAGTGCTGTGGTTAGTAGAGGTGCAGGGAGGGTGGTGGGGTCTTTAACAGTGGCAGGTTGGTCAGGTGAGTGGGAAAGGGACAGCATGCAGGCCTGAAAGTGTTCACATTTTTGTTGAGTCAGCAAATATTTTCTGAGCAATTGCTGTGTGCTGGGTACTGTGAGGCGCTGTGGACACAACTGAATTGAGCAGGGCTGTTCCTGTCTGGGACAGGTAAGGAGACCATCTGGCCTAATGACGGGACGAGAATGGAAAGGCAGGTGGAGGCTCCAGGACCTGGAGAAGGTTTTCACGGTCGCCTGTAAGCTATGGGGAGTGTGTTATATTCTTTGGCAGGTGAATGACCTAGAGAAACTATGTTTGTTTTTAGGAAGATTGATCTGATGATGGTCTTCTATCTTGGACTTTAATTTTTTTTTTAAAAAAGGGTGTTTTTGGCTTTGTTGGTTTTCATCCATCCTATTTGAGGTGACCCCTTTTCTAATTTAGTCTAGCAGTACTCTTTTCAAAATACCAAGTCCCTTTTGCTTCAAATCAAGTTATACCAGCTAATACTTTACCAAATGTCTACCCTGATTTTGGTACTGCTGCCTTAACAGTTAGAAAAGCTGTTTATGCCCTCAGCCTCCCAAGTGTACCTGCCACACCCCCTCCCCATACAGCCAAATAAGAATTTTACCTCACCAGGGGCCTGCTTTTCCTTAGAAAATGGCCCTTTCTTGTTACATGGTTTGACATTAGCATCTCTTTCTTCCATTTTTCTTTCTGCTGGTGTCAGGATGTGTGTGTGTGTGCGCGCGCGCGTGTGTAAATTGCTAGCCTTTTCTGGCTGTAAAGATGATTCTTAGGTTTATTTTGAAGTTTATGGGGGCTGGCAAACTTGCCCCAAATTGAATCACCTTGTTTACACCACTGTGGAGGCCTGGGAATGATTGAGCTCTTCCTGAATTGCTAGGTAGCAGCCTGACCTTAAGTTTGAGGCTTTTCTCACTGGGAGTATTGACACTGGTGTTTTTATGTAGAAATCATGAAGTAGACTTTATGGTATGGAAAGCTAATTCTCCAGAAAACATTATACTATGATTTCATATAGGAAGTCAAATCAGAGTAACTTCAGTAGTTACGTAGAAACATAGTTTACAGAGTAGAGTAAACATAATATGCTTCCCTTTTCTTTCTCTTCATGCTATTAATAACAACATTTACTGAACACTTTTTAATTTGCTTGGTCTGGTTGTCCTAGGCACTTTACGTGACTTATCTCATTTTGTCGTCATATCCTAATAAGAAATATCTCCGTTTGATAAATGGAGAACATGAGGCATAAAGAGGTTAAATAAAGATTACCAAGCTTGTAAGGGATTGAACCAGGATTTAAACCCAGTTGTTCAGCTCCAGAGCCTTAGCAGCTCTTAGCATTTTTATGGTCGAGTGTACTTGGGATCTCTGCCCACATCCTGTCCCTGAGTCCATTTGTGTTGATCAAGTGGAGTTTGTAAGATTTGGGTAGAGATCTAAAATTGGAACAGGTGGAATGACATGCTGTCCTGGAACATCCCTCGGAGAGTGCAAAGGTGGTGTGTAATTCCATCTGCCAAGCTGACCTTCGGTTTTGCCGTACTTGGTTGGGGATGGCCCAGAGACCTAGGGTTGACATGAGGCTTGAGTTCTGAAGAACTGACTTCAACTCTCGAGTGACAGAGCTGGGTGTCAGCAAATGAGTGTCAGGTTACGGGATATAGAGGACAGACTTTTAAAGCCATCCAGTAGCACCTGGTGTGAACCGCTCCTCTTTCCAGAGAGAATGAGTACTGGCAGAGAAGTATGTTGAAATAAATTGTACATTAAAATATAAATGCCATAGACATCCTGGCTCTTGGGATGTGTGGTAGTTGCTGTCATTTCCAAGTAAGCAGACTAAAAAGTCTGTTTTCACTGAGCTATCACTTAGTCTGTAGATTTTACTAGACTGCTATGGATCTGCCATTTAGGATAATCCATTAAGCAAAGTTATTATGAAGTCTTAAGGGTCAGATTTAAAGAAACTAGAATGTGTATATATACAGAAAGACAGCTGAAGAGAATGGGAATCAGGATTTCAAGTTTTATTTATATCTTGCCCATTAAACTCTCAGTAACCATGGCATGTCTATCACTTGGGCTCTCGAATTACCCACTTGTGAAGTGGGAATGGTTCTGACTTTAGAGGAATGCAGTGTGTGGAAGATGTCTTGGGGTTGCTGGATGAAAGTGGCCTGGAGCAGTGATAGCTACACTCACTATACTTGCTAACCTTTCAAGTTGGTTATTTCTGCAGCTGCTAATAGTTGTGGGTAGAGGGAATGTACACTGGTTTTTGTTTGTTTGGGTTATTTTATTTTGAGACAGGCTCTTGCCAACTTGCCCAGGCTGGCCCCAAACTTATGATCCTCCTGCCTCAGCTGGGATCATAGACATGCCAATTAAGTAATAACCAGGTCTTCTGCAGGTCCTTTACTCTGCTAGAGGAATAATGTACTGATAGAGGAATGGAGGCCTCTGGGAATCAACAGTGACTAAGTAGAGACCATCCATCTCCTGCCTAGGTTCTGGAAGAGCTGGTACTGCTACTTTGCTCCCTTGTTGAGTTCAGTCTTGTTCTGTTTTTTTTTATTATTATTATTTTTTTTTTTTTGGTTTTTCTCCGGTACCAGGAACCGAACTCACGACCTTGCGCTTGCCAGGCAGGCGCTTTTGCCGCTGAGCTAAATCCCCAGCCCCTAGTCTTGTTCTGTTGAGATGAATTACTAGAGCTCTAAGTTATAAATAAGGCTTAATGAACGTAGATGTCAGAGTATCAAGTGATGCCTTTGTTCTACCTACTGTTCGTAGGCAGGAATGCATACTGTTCCTCTTATCTCAAAGGAGAAGCTCATGTGTTTTCGTCTGCTCTTAGTAGTTCACATCATTTTATGTATTCTGTAGCTCAGCCCGTTGACACGGTTTCTTCTTCTTCCTGGTCGCTGAGCTGCAGCTCTGCTGCTGGTGGCACCGGTAGAGCTGAGGTGTGCACGGTACACCTCTCTTCTCTCTCCTGGAGATACACCAAAAGGTTTATGTAAACTGACAACTTTTACTCACATGTGTGCAGGGAAAGCAAATCGTGTGTTTTATTTGGCTTGCCTGTCTTCCTTCCTTCCTCCCTCCCTCCCTTCCCTCCTCCCTTCCTTCCATGTATGTGCTGGGGATAGAACCTAGGGCTTTGTACGTGCCAGGCAAATTCTCTGCCACTGAGCTACATCACCAGCCCAAGAGTAACTTTTTCTTTTATTTCTTTCTTTCTGCTCTCCCTCCCTCCTTTCTTTCCTGTCTTCCTTCCTTCTTTTTTAGGTGAAGTCTTGCTGTGTTGCCTGTCATGGTCTCAAGCAAGCCTTCTGCCTCAATCTCTGTAGCAGTTGGGACTACAGGCATGCACAACCATGCCTGGCTATAGAGAAAGTTGTTTAAAGGAACTTGACAGTGTATCCGTTGTGAAGTTGCATACATACAGCTTTGTAGCAAAAAAGGGAAAAACAAAAGATCGTCATTCTGGGGGCTGGGGATTTAGCTCAGCGGCAAAGCGCCTGCCTGGCAAGCGCAAGGTCGTGAGTTCGGTTCCCGGTACCAGAGAAAAACCAAAA